CTAATTGCACATCATCGTCCTACCTTGGATACAATCCAATGGCTTCTTCCCTTCACTAAATTGCACATCATCGTCGTACCTTAGGATACAATCCAATGGCTTCTTTCTTTTCTTGCACATCATCGTCGTAGTTAGGAAAGAATCCAATGGCTTCTTCCCTTCACTAAATTGCACATCATCGTCCTACCTTGGATACAATCCAATGGCTTCTTCCCTTCACTAAATTGCACATCATCGTCCTACCTAGGATACAATCCAATGACTTCTTCCCTTCACTAAATTACACATCATCGTCGTGCTGGAGATGGAATCCGATCATTTCTTCCCTTCTTACTGACACATCATACATAGGAGAAAGAAGAGTCGCCCCCTTAATAGTATAGCTTGGCTGGAGTAAAAACTGCTATCGATGAAATGGAGACATCTGAGCAAGAATATTCACTTTGGTAGCCAAGCCACCACTGTCTTGCTGTTTTACAAATGTCTAGTATCATCTCCATGGTGCCTTATGTGATGGATACTAAGCGTTCTATCGCTACTGTCTGCCATTCTTCAGTGTACACGGACATATCTGAGCAAGAAGAATCATTTCATTAGCAAAGCTTGTCTTTGCCAATCATGACACTGAATGCCATCATTCTCTACTCTACTCGTGCAATCAATCTTTCTTCTGTGCCCACTCTACTACCTTGGATATCCCTATCTTAATCAAGACCGCTAAAAATCGAAAATCACTTGTAGTCTGTTTCTACATTTATCGTTCCCATTCAAGCCAAATTATTTTCAATTTACAACATTTGAATCAATCCAATCATACTAATTGTCTTCAATTTAAATCGAGATACAACACTTTTCAACAAGATAATCAAGCAAGACGCGGCTGTCTTGAAATCATTGCGGTTTGCATTTATCCTTGACGCCATCTTACTGTAGTTGCATGAGTGTACTTTATGGGCAGCCTTGTTGGAAAGTAGTAGTGAATAGCGGATAGCAGTTTGGATAGGAAAATAAAACCAACTTTCTAGCGCTGTTGACAACTGTCACTGTTGAACAAATTTATGGAGTAAACTGAGCATTAGTAGACTGCTATTGAGCCATCTTGCATTCCCTGTGGTAGAATCAATGCCAATGATGGACATGGCTGCAGTGCTACAAATGACGATATACAGTACTATCGATCACTGGCAGAATACGCCAGTGACTCAATCAGTTGGAAAATTTTCTTGTACGAATAAGTGGCCTACCAGCGACTACTCAATATCCCTCTCTCATGGGAAATAAAACTCTCTTCCTTGACAAGAACGGCGCACTTTTCTCTTCATTATACGTACGAGTAAATTAGGGTAAATTAGGAGAGAGTGAATCATTTCTTGGATGAGAGAGGGAGATTGAGTGATCTCTGCTTCGGGGACCGGATTTGCAAAATGGAACACTCGATCAACAACAGTGAAATAGGAAAAGAAGCCAATAGTTTGGATGTTGTCGTCAACATTTGTCCGTCATGGACGACTACCCTCAATGAAATGCATTGGAAATAGTCGTAAAGCAACGCAATAACCGTCAAAAGAGACCATGTATCCTCCCAATTTGGGGCTTTAGCGATAGTGTTGACTTCATTTTACTGTAGAATCAACGGTGCGAATAAATAACAAACTAAATACGGTACAACGGCTCCTACCAAGGAAGAATCCAGAAATAGTTCTCCTTGTTAACTAGGACCAAAGTGATCTGCCGCTGCAGATGATAATTTTGGTCTAGTCCATCGCAACTCAACGGCAATGCCATGAATACAGTACTTGAATCAAACCATTACCTTCTTGAGAAATGGCCTCAATCTGTTTAAAATACAGTAAACTTGTCTTCCTTCCTTCATTATTAGTTAGAAAGCAGAAGGGATTATTCAACATTTTAACCTAGCTACCCCCCTGTCGATTTTACTTGTCCATGACGGCATTGACATAAGAGTCGGTTGGACACATCCAAAGGTGATTGAATTGGGAGGTAATGGCCCAAATCACTCGCTTGATCGTTTATTACAGTAAACTTGCCTTCCTTCTTCATCATTATTAGTTAGAAAGCAGCAGGGATTATTCAACGTTTTAACCTAGCTACCCCCCCTGTCGATTTTACTTGTCCATGACGGCATTGACATAAGAGTCGGTTGGACACATCCAAAGATGATTGAATTAGGAGGTAATGGCCCAAATCACTCGCTTGATCGCTTATTACCTTTCCCCCTTGTTGTTATTTTGCATTCAAATCGACCATGGCCATCATAGACTTGAACAATCATCCTCCCCGAATCCAATAGGGTAAATGGATCGTCATGGACGCACAATTTTAACTCCGGTCGTTATTGTTGCTAACACATCGTATTTAGAGTTATAATGTAGCTTTTGTTTCTCTACTCCATCATCATCTTTTGGACTAATTATATCAACAGAGTTTCGTATTGTTTCACACGATAAAAGACTTGCAATTAATGATATTGATTGGCATTTCTCTCGCTCTGATGGACTTCCATTGCAATTAATTATAAAGGATAAAGAGGTTGTGCTGTTGCTAATTAATTGACTATCGATCATAACAAACTTCATATAGAGTTGAAGTACAAGTAGAATACTTCATCAACTATGAAAGGCTTGGTCCAGATCCGAAAGGACACAATTTCTACATCGATATAGACTAGGAAAAGGAATTTATCTTCTATATACAGTATGTATCCCTGGGGAGCCTGCTAGGCAGAATAGACGAGTATACTGCATTGCCATGTTGTCTAAGAACTTTTTATCCAATGACTGCAACCAACAAAATCTCCAATTATAATCATCTTACTAGAGCTGACCATTGGCTTCTATTCACGTTTTACTATCCACTATCTTGTCATTGCAAGTACCAATCAAGAAAATTTCCTCAGCCTAAACATCCAAAAGCTCCATACTTGACTACAATATTAATTTACAAAAGCGATCAATATCCAGTAAAGTAGGACTATAGTCGTCAGACAAGTTGTGTATTAATGACACTGGAAGTGGTTATAATCTGGTCATGTATTGCATCCTATTCAAAATTGATGAATTCATTAAAGTCTCCTCAGCCTAAACATCCAAAAGCTCCATATTTGACTATAATATGAACTTCCAAAAGCGATCAATATCCAGTAAAGTAGTACTATAGCAGTCAGACAAGTTGTGTATTAATGACACTAGAAGTGGGTATAATCTGGCCATTTATTGCATCCTATTCAAAATTGCTGAATTGATTACGTCCACTAAATGTTGCTTCCAACATATTAGCTTGCATGTATTCGATCTGTATCATTTTGACTTCAATCGATATTTTTCGTTGCAAAGATTCCTATGAGAACCATTGAGTAAAGTAGCACTGGAGTATACTTTACTTTGATATTATAGTGCATAAGCTATCGATATTGAATAAAGTAGGACTATAGTAGCCCTAACCAGTAAGCATTTGTGTATCCTCTCCTCACTCTAAGCATCCGAATAGTCCATGTTTTACTTTGACATTAACTTACGTGTGCAAAGGCTATCTACGCGTATATTGAAAAAAAAGTAGGACTACAGTAGCCTAACCAGTAAGCATTTGTGTATTCTCTCCTCACTCTAAGCATCCGAATACTCCATGGCATTAACTTACAGGTGCAAAACCCATCCATGTTGAAAAAAAAGTAGCACTGTAGCAGCCTAACCAGTAAGCATTTGTGCATCCTCTCCTCACTCTAAGCATCCGAATAGTCCATGCTTTACCTTGACATTAACTTACGTGTGCAAAGGCTATATCTACGCATATATTGAAAAAAAGTAGGACTACAGCAGCCTAATCAGTAAGCATTTGTGCATCCTCTCCTCACTCTAAGCATCCGAATAGTCTATGACATTAACTTACAGGTGCAAAAGCTATCCATAGTGAAAAAAGTTGCACTGCAGTAGCCTAGCCATTCCTGTCTTAATCAATTCTCCCTTGCTTTAGAAACATCCGAGTGCTCCATGCTTGACTTTGATATTACCTTACAAAAATTATCCATACTGAATAAAGTAGTGCTGCAGTAGCCTAATTATGCGTGGATCAATAAACTTTCCTCATTCGAGCTTATCCACTAATGGGCATTAGTGTCAGTTCTGATTGCAAAAGTGATCATTTTATGATCTTCCAGAGTTGGATAATGCAAATATTACGCTGGAGAAGAATCGAATGATATAGTATAATGCACTTGATACTTTAAACCACTAGCCCTAGGCAATATTATACGGGTATTCTCTTTGCCAGCAACTTGAACGGAAGACGGCTAGGACAGTCATATCCAGTCATGCTACATTTTATTAATACAAATACATCCATATCATCTGTATCAATCATGAGTGCCATACATTCTTAAAGACACGCTTTGCAAAGTTAGATGGCATCTATAGTGTTTTCGACTGTAGTTATGAACTAATTTCTATGCAGCTGTGCGTAAAAAACTCTCCTATAAAATAAGCAAAATTTTCAATCACTTTACCAAAGATCAAACCGTCTTACGGCATGGACATGAATCATTGTAATATCTTATTTACCTAAATGATTGGCATTATAAATAGTTTATTTTAAATGGCAAAAGATTTACTACAGTAGTTTAGCTATTTTTGATCAGAATACAGTATTTCAATCTAAAATTCCACATAGCCTATGTTAAAGATACTGTCGATAATTACATTATGTCTTATCTTTCTTATGGTACTCCAACTTGCAGAATCTTGCTCTACAAAATACATAAAATAGGATTAACACAGTAGCAATAAATATATCGTTAAAGGATTTCATGTGCAAACACAGATGATGCAATATACTGTAGTACCTATTGGTATAATCCTTGAATGTTGCATCGTACGTAAAATCGGTATCATGAGTATTGAGGTAATGCTCAATCATCTCGGGATGATTGATATCTACTTCCAACCATATTTTACTAATAATACAAGCACAACCGTAGAAATCAAATAAATTCGATGGATAATTAGAATAATCAATCGCTTCAAACTTTTACCTAACGAAAGTATATACGATTTCTGTGCAACGTACAAACACTAACCCTTTATCCTTTAAGCATAAACGTGCAAAATGTAAAATTTGTTTCACAATGTCTAGGCCATCGCAACCGCCATCGAGTGCAAGGGAACTTTCAAAGCTATAGTACAACAAATTATACCGATTACAACTCGGATAATAAAATCGACTATAATACTGTAGGTCATCATGACAACCTAATAATCTCCTCTTGCAAGCTCGCCAGTTGTTTAGAAGGTATATAGGGAGGATTACTCACTATAAAATCTACTGCTTCATCATGACCAAAACCATGATGGAATTCAGCTGTTATTTAGGATTAGAAATAGGTTTTGAGTTAAGATCCTTAAACGGGTCATTCTATTTCAAGAAATAGTATCCGGTGATTGACTATCGATACCTACTCTTCATCACGTCGAGATGTTCAACTATCATCCTGCTGCCTAGGTTAAGCCTAAATATTCAAGGGGCATACAAGGTGTAGAAATAGTTCTAGTGATCTTTTGCGATAGCTGTACTATTTATTTAAAAGTGAAATAATTACCGTTGGCTATTTAATTCTGTCAGGCTAATTGCATTTGGATCTTTATCGATGGCAATGCATGTGGCCTAAATAGGAAATAATAAAGGGGTATATACTTTAAAAAAGCATCAACTTTTCATTTCTACAGCTGGTTTAATTCATTGCATATACTTTATTAAGCTAATATTAATATAGCGTTTACTTGGGGATTTTCGCACAAGAGCGATAAACCGATAGCTCCGCTGCCACAGCAAATATCCAGAAATGTGATTGATTCGTTCTCTCTTTTATGATGAAACTCATGTAAGTTTATCAAATCCACTAGCTCCTAATCAAATATCATTACAGTATACAGCATTGATTTTAAATGTCTTTTCTTATACCGTTTATGATACTCTATTTACAAAGTCTATTTTGCACTTAAAGGATAGATACGCCATTTTTTGCAATAACCAGTTCGTATGAAAAAAGTATTATCTTATTAGCAGCATGCAATGATGAGCGATTTGTACGTACTACACGTATAGCAACACAGTGTAAATTTTAGTCTTGCAATTGAATTAGTTTTCTATGTCTTCAAGACCGATTGGCCTATTTGCAAGCTCATAGTACCTCAGTTTCCGGGCGAGGAATAAAAACTGGTGGTTGCATCTTCAGTGTGATATATCTAAAATCCCATTCTCGGATGATGTATTGTACTGGCATTCTGAAAATTTTAACAGAGTCCATTGGCGAAATAGTAAGTGTTGAACTATAGTAAATATACAGCTAAGCGAGAATACTATCATCTATAGTCAGCATAGATTCTATTCATCTGCGTGCAGTATTAACAAGATATTCTATTTCGTATACATACGCATATGCATAGTTATCACCAAATAGAGTTTATAAAATATTGCATAAATATATATATTATATATTAAAATATGCACATTTTTAATTAATTCTACTATAAGTATCAGTATTAAATTATAGATACCTATCGAGCCTCTTGGAGCAAAGCTTGTTGAAAAGTTGAATTTGTTGGACAGTCAGCTCAGGATTGCCATTTTCTTCTATTTTAGACACCTATAGTACGTAGAACAATGATTAGCAATAATAGAAATTAACTTATACATACACATCGTGACTGATTTTTAATTCTTAGTCTATGCCTGAATAGCATATTAGCAGAGACTGCTTCAAATAAAAAAAGGTGCTAGATATAAATTGCATTGCTAGAAATGACAAAGAAATGGCAGTATTATTAAATTATTAATTGTTTAGAGTATTATTCATTCTTTCATGTAGCAGCTATAATGAATGATGTAGATTGCGTATTAGCACAGACTATTCCAAATATGAATGAGTACTAAACATGGATTGCGTAGCTGGAAATGACATTATTACTATTGATTGTTTAGAGTATTATTCGTTCATTCATGTAGCAGTTATAGTCAACGGCGTAGATTGTGTATTAGTGGAGGCTACTTCAAATACAAATGAGTGCTAGACATGGATTGCATTGCTAGAAATGACAAAGATACGATAGTATTATTATTGACTGCTTAGAATATTATTCATTCATTCATTGTAGCGAGTGAAGTGAATGGATGGATTGCGTATTAGCAGAGACTAATCCAAGTAAGAAGAGTACCAGACATGGATAATATTATTTTTATTTGGAGTAGTCGCTGTTAATTATTTACAATTCATTATTATACGTATAACAATAATAGGCAGTGATTACTCCAAACAAAAAGAGTACCAGACATAGATTGCAATTCTTTTCCATTTAAAGTAGTCACTGGTAATTATACATACTGTATAATGTTGTAATCCGTAGCGACTACTCCAAATAAGTAAGAGTACTAGTTATGAATTGCATTGCTACAAATTACCCCTAAATTGACAGTGTTATTGTTATTTTACTTTTGTAGAAATCATTGATTGATTCATTCATGTAGTAGGTATAGTGAAAGGCATAGGTTGTGTATTAGCAGAGTCTACTGTATATAAAGAATACTAGACATGGGTTGCATTGCTGGAAATGACAAAGAACTGACAGAATTATTAATTATTGACTATTTAGAGTATCATCCATTCATTCATGTAGCAAGTATAGTGAATAGATGGGATTGCGTATTAGTAGACTATTGCAAATGGGAAGAATACTAGACATAGATTGCTTTGCTGGAAATGACAAAAAGCTGACAGAATTACTATTGACTATTAAGAGTATTATTCATTCATTCATATAGCAAGTATAGTGAATGGATCGATTGCATATTAGCAGACTATTGCAATTGGGAAGAGTACTAGACATGGATTGCATTGCTGAAAAAATGACAAAGAACTGACAGAATTATTGATTATTGACTATGTAGAGTATTATTCATTCATTCATATAGCAAGTATAGTGAATGGATGAGATTGCGTATTAGTAGACTATTGCAAATGGGAAGAGTACTAGACATGGATTGCATCGCTGGAAATGACAAAGAACTGACAAAATTATTGACTGTTTAAAGTATTATTCATTCATTCATGTGGCAAATATAGTGTGAATGGATGGATTGCATATTAGTAGACTATTGCAAATGGGAAGAGTACTAGATATGGATTGTATTACTAGAAATGACAAAAAACTGTTAGAATTACTATTGATTATTTAGAATATTATTCATTCATTGATATGGTAAGTATAGTGAATGGATGGATTGCGTATTAGTAGACTATTGCAAATGGGAAGAGTACTAGACATGGATTGCATTGCTGGAAATGACAAAGAACTGACAGAATTATTAGTTATTGACTATTTAAAGTATTATTCATTCATTCATGTAGTAAGTATAATAAATGGATCGATTGCGTATTAGTAGACTATTGCAAATGAGAAGAATACTAGGCATGGATTGCATTGCTGGAAATGACAAACAACTGACAGAATTACTATTGACTATTAAGAGTATTATTCATCTATGCATGTTACAAGTACAGTGAAAGGATGGATTGCGTATTAGTAGACTATTGCAAATAAAAAGAGTACGATTGCATTGCTAAAAATGACAAAAATCTGACAAAATTGTTGACTATTTAGAGTATTATTCATTCATTGATATGGTAAGTATAGTGAATGGATGGGATTGCGTATTAGCAGACTATTGGAAATAGAAAGAGCACTCGACATGGATTGCATTGCTGGAAATGACAAAAAACTGACAGAATTATTAACTATTTAAAGTATTATTCATTCATTCATATAGCAAGTATAGTGAATGGATCGATTGCGTATTAGCAGACTATTGTAAATAAAAGGGTACTCGACATGGATTGCCTTTTCTTATTCGGGGTGGAAGGTGCTAATTCTTATATGCTAGCCATGGATTGCATTGCTGGAAACGACAACGACACAGTACTATTATTATTTATTGACTGTTTAGAGTATATTGCTCATTTATTGATGCAGCAAGTCGAGCATAGTGAATGGATGGATTAAGTATTAGCAGAGACTCCTCCAACTGAAAGAGAGTACCAGGCATGGATTTGCATAGTTTTTTATGTGCAGTAGTCGCTGTTAATTATTATACGTATAATATTAGGCTGCAACTGCTGCAAATGCAAAAAGAGTACTAGACATCAATTGCATTGCTGGAAACTACCCTCAAATAGATAGTCTTATTATTAATTATTGTTGTAGAGCATCATTGATTGATGGATTCCCGTCGGAGATATTGTGAAGGGCATGGATTGCGTATGAGAAAAAACTGCTCCGCCCCCAAAAGGAGAAGAGTACACAACCTAATTGCAATAGATATCCCGATAGCTGCAACTGAGGTAGAGTTATGACATACTGTTGCATCTAGTAGAGTAAAAGTATGTACAAAAATTGGAATGGCAGATGTTGATTGATTGATGAGTGTTATCCTACGAATAGGTAATATTCTTACACATTGATTTAGTCGGATGACATAGTCCATAATGAGCTGTGTTGAAGTTCTGGGCTCAGGGATAGCTGCATCTCGGAGCCGTTGAGTCCAAAGGGATACAAGATTTTTAGCTAAATTGCTGGTGCTACGGGTAGAATATCTGCTAACGCTAGTAGCCATGATGAATGAAATGCATCAATGCTGAGGTAATCAATCCTAGACGATGAAACCTTTTGAAATTCAATCGGCTCATGCTATATGGCTAATGAAGCCCAGCAATGCTTCATCGTAAAGGGAGAGGCCACTAAAGGTGTAGAAGTTGGCATCAATTGCTACCATGGACGGCTAAGTAAAAGATATTCTATCTTGTCGTCCATTCAAGGTGCTAACAGTATCACCATCGGCGTGGAATGATCGTTGCTATGGAGTAGAATAACTGTTGGGTACGATTTGCTGTGTCTCTCTCATTTTGACACTCATATATTAGTTTGTATAAGTTATCCAGTAGTGTTTGTGAACCAATAGCATCGTTGGATGCATGTTCCTTCAAGTGGACCGACAGCATCCTGGACGCGTAGGTGTGGCAGACTACTGCTAGTACAGTGATAGTATACGTTTAATGAAGGCGTTGATTGCTGGCAATCAACGCCATTTTCTACTTGTAAAAATGGCCAAATGTTAAGGGAAAGAGGTTCAAATTGCAATGGCAATGTGATAATTAACCCACTTCAAAGGGTGGCTTTCAATCAGCTAAAGTACCTGTTTAACATCGTACGCTATTGGTAATTGTGTGAGATAGCGAGGCCAAGGCACGGATAGTCAGAAGAAGGAAATATTTTTCCTTGAGAATGCTATAGTCGTATCTTAGATAGATTAGTTTTCTTGTTTGAGTATTACTGTCCTCGTGACGATTATCAGACTATTAGCCGCAGACTTACAGTACTACTCAGTCCAGTGGGTTACTAGTCAAGATGGACTACTGTAGTCTTGATGACGAAGGCATACTGCTGCTCGATACAACAACAGAGGTTTCAATTCAAGTTGATCAGCATAAACTTGTGAAATGAACAAAATGAATTCATGAGTAATAGTACAGGTTGGATATCCCCGTCTTATTGCATACAGAAGTGCATGACTATAGTTTATTTGCCTAATCTTGCTACCAGTTCTATAACTGAGATATTAATTGAAATAGAGCAACATCAACTTGTAAAATAAATAAATCAATTTAAGCAATTTTGCAAGTCGTCATGAAATGGGTTTCCACGGTATAATTGTTATAATATAATCCTTATCCTATTAATAAATTGAAATGGATACAAGTATATACGCCAGATCATTTCGTCTATTTTTGAGTCGTGAATAAAAATAATTATTATGAATCACTATCCGTTAACGCTAATTGTCTTAATATACGGAATAGACTTCCGAACAGTATTACACTGTTATGAAGACAAATAACAAATCAATTTCGAATTGCGTTCCAACGGTATAATCTTTAATCCTTATCCTATTGATAAATTGAAATGGATACAAGTATATACGCCAGATCATTTCCTCTATTTTTAATTCATTAATAAGGATTTATTATATCTAGTAATCACTATCCGAGAACGTAAATTGTCTTCATGTATAGAACAGTACTGCAATTTAGAAGTCGTCATCGAATTGCGTTTCTACAGTATAATCCTTAATCCTTATCCTATTGATAAATTGAAATGGATAAAAGTATATACGCCAGATCATTTCCTCTATTTTTGATTCCTTAATAATAATTAATTATAATTACTAATCACTATCCGTGAACGCAAAATTGTCTTCATGTATGGAATAGTACCGCACTTCCATGAAGACAAATATTATAAATTGTCATCGAATTGCATTTCCACGGTATAATGTAGTCGTTATCCTATTGAAAAAATTGAAATCGATACAATTAAGCGGTAGATAATTTCCGCTATTTATGATTCCTTAAGAATAATTAATTATATTTACTAATCAGTATCCGTGAACGCAAATTGTTTTCATGTTTGGAACGGTAGGTACTCTGAAGATAGATAAAACAAGTTTTACAAGTCATTATCGAATTGCGTTTCCACGGTAGAATTCTCAATCCTTATCCTAATGAAAATTGAAACAGCGTTATTGAATTGCGTTTCCACGCTAGAATCCTCAATCTTTATCCTAATGAAAAATTGAAATAGATAAAAGTATTGGCTAGATTATTTCCTATCCTAATAATTGTAATGGATACAAGTATGGGCCAGATTATTTCCTCTATTTTTGATTCCTTAATACTGTAATAATTAGTAATTATTATCCGTGAACGCAAATTGTCTTCGCGTGTAGAACAGTACTGCACTTGCATGAAGACCCATTCTACAAGTCATCATCGAATTGTATTTCTACGGTATATTCCCTATCCTAATGATTGTAATGGATACAAGTATGGGCCAGATTATTTCCCAGCTATTTTGGATTCCTTAATACTGTAATAATTAGTAATTATTATCCGTGAACGCAAATTGTCTTCGGATATGGAACAGTACTGCACTTGCATGAAGACTCATTCTACAAGTCACCATCGAATTGTATTTCTACGGTATATTCCCTATCCTAATAATTGTAATGGATACAAGTATTGGCCAGATTATTTCTTCTATTTTTGATTCCTTAGTACTGTAATAATTAGCAATTATTATCCGTGAACGCAAATTGTCTTCGCGTATGGAACAGTACTGCACTTGCATCAAGACCCATTTTACAACCGCGTTTGTACGGTATATTCCCTATCCTAATGATTGCAATGGATACAAGTATGGGCCAGATCATTTCCCAGCTATTTTTGATTGATGAATGAATTATTCAAACTATCCGTCAACGCAAAATATCTGCATGAAAGTGCAGTACTGCTCCATATAGTAGTGTCCATCATCGATGAAAATGGATCATGACAACCTCCATCTTGGATCATCAGCTGAGTACTATTCCATACAGTAGTGCTTGCAATAGGCTAATGGTAGACAATTTGGTAGACTCGACTGGTGACTACTGCAAATAGGGGTCCCAATCAACATCTGTTGGAAAGTTGGCAATCGGTCCGGTCCAGTACCGTCCCGTACCGTACCGTTCCACGATTCGGTACGGTACTGGTACCGTACTAGTATTCTTCCATCACTAGGTTTTAGTCGGGCAAGATGGCTGTGTAAAAGTGTGCGGTCTAATACGCCAGCCTATAGCGGTAGTACCTACATCAGTACCGGTAGTGAGTGGAGCTATGGCCAAGTCCACAACATCATCATCATCATCAATATAAAAACAAACAACATCGGCAAGAAATTGGCCATCATCGCCAGCAATATTCGACTCCACAACGCCGATCGTGAAGGTAAACGGATGATATCTGCAGTCTAGTTGGGAGATCTTGCACGTAATCGACTTGAAATTGGCATTGAAGGATGGATCAAAGAGAGATTGATCGTCCTGTCCAGGTGGATACAGGAGAAGAAAGTAAGCAATCCAGTGATGTAAGTTGGCAAATCAATCTAGCCGACGAGGACGATGACAACGTTGAAAAGATACCTGCCGTTCCATTAGGTTCAAGATGGACATTTTGGTGTGATACGTAAGTTGTTTCCATCTCTTTCTTCCAGTTCATCCATGGGCAATAGTAATCGACTGAAAGATTGCGATCAAATCCATGAAAAGATTGATATTCGATTCCATGTCTCTACTACAGTATGTATGATCGATAGCAGTCTAGCTTTCATCATAAAGTAATTTCCAAGGGGAACGATCCATCATCATGTTGACACTTTTGCTCTTGATCATTTCAAGAGGAGAACAACAATCGGTAGGATAGAGTATTTCCCTGGAAAATAGCATACAGGGAATGAAAATGGTACAGTTTAGTACTTGACTCATCAAATGAACAAATAAGACAGGATAGAGTAGGACAATATGAATATTTGATTCACTTATCCTAAACGATCTACTGAAGATTGCATCCTAATACAATCAATCATGGACAAACCCCTATCATTGCTGTTGTAATGTTGTTCATTGCTAGCCAGTTTTATCCAATGATGATGTTCAAGTAAGGATGGAATGATCTAGAAGAGAAACGATGTACATCCATTGCATAGCATAAGATGAATACGGTCATGAAAGAGGGAATAGAATCATCCTTTTCGCTACTTTAGCATCAATAGACAAGTGGAAGGTAAATATACATTAGCCATTGGTTACAATAGATTGTCATCGTAGAAGTAACGCGATCAAACAAAACTTTACTACTTTTATTGCTTGATATCAACAGTAACAGCATGATCCAATTCATCATTTCTTCACACTATCCTATTGAGTTAAATGACAAGTTTGATAAAACCGAATTGGATACGTTGCATTACAGGATATTTCTAATTACCGTTGAAGATATCAACATTTACTACACCCGTCACGATCGCTTTTTTGACTAAAGGAATGCAATAAGAATGCCAAAATAGTCTATAGACAACTACCCAAATCGATTGGGCTGGATGTACTCTTATCATAAATAATGAGCGTAGCTAGACAAGGTATTTAAATCAATCAAACTCTACTGAAAAATTTCTAGTCACGTAATAGCAAAAATACAAAATAGAGAGATACGGATACAGGACATCTCTCATCAATCGATTATTCCGTACAATTTTCACATTTATAATGCCTTCATGGAAAGGTACAATAGAAGCAATAGGTGGAATGAATGAAAGCTTGCTCTACATGATCGTATTCTATTCCATGGACGTGTATTAATAGTACTTAGGAAATGAGATCAACCAAGTACGACTTATAAAACTTATAACGATCCGTCTGAAGTTTTTGTAAAGCATAATAGAGTCAAATGATGATCATTGTGCAGTCGTATGAATATTATTACACAGTCTATTAATTGATTTACTGGGAAGCAGTAAGCTTGATTAATTGAAATTATTCCTACTTACTACTAAATGTATAGACAAGATTTGTTTATTACATGACAGTATTGCGAATGGATGAATGACTAGTAAAGCGTGAATTTCACGCCTACTTTCAACTACAGTAATAAAAGCTATTACAAGCTCTTAAATGAACTGGCTAAAGTGATAAGTGTAAATTTAGTAGTCATGAAAGGAGAATCAATTAATAGTGAATTGAATAATGGCATAGTTTATATTGTGTAGCAGCAAAGCAAAGAAATTTCTATTAATGCATTGGTATTTCTATTTGGATAGAACCTATCATGGCCTGTCCAAAGACCAATATGAGGATAATCTTAAGAAAATTATGGCTGTTGATACCATCCAGGTAATTCCAGCTATCACACAGAAAATACTTTGGATGACTCATGAGTCTTTTTAGAAGATGGACTTTTCTGTAATAAGTAATAAAGTATCTGCATAGTCAGCATGAACGGCAACATTACATCACTATACTTTGCTACAGTATGTCAGTTCAGCACGGCAACATTATACTGTATCTCTCTACTTTGCTACAGCATGTAGCTGAAAGACTACTTACAGAATAGATGGAGGAAATTTTATGCTTATACGAATATATAGAAAAATGATACGTATATTATCATGGAATGAACGGAGTTACGCTTTAAACTTTCAAATCAATAGTAAAGTTGCACATTTTGTCATGGTTTACTTCGACTGCAGGATTTCTACAGTGATTTCAATTACAGTTCTGCAGTAGACATATTTTTTAAATAGCTGATGCTCGTGTTGCAATGAGGAAGCTACCAGTCACTTTGAAATTGCATTTTTTACCATCTATTCATTTCCATTGGCATTTCAATTGTAGGGTTTCTGGAGTGTTTATGATCATATTCCCAAAGTGTCATCCATTAAATTAAGATCCAGTTACTTCTTGATGAGAAATGAAACTCGGCCCATCTGGTAAGAATGCTACATTGAACACAAACAGATATATCATCAGGACTCAATAATGACCACTTTCTTGCAACGCTGTAGCGTAAACATAACTTGAATATTGGATAAGATTGCTTTATATGTATTATGTGGTAAAACTATTTTAGGGAAGATCCTGTTAATCGTAATGGAGGCTCATACAAGACTCGCTGTATTAAGGAGAATACGGTAGTTAATGACACGAATGATATTTTTTTCACCTATTGTAATTACTAGCTTGCTAATGCATAACCTATTGCAATTGTATCAATCTGATGAACAATTACTATAAAGGAAGATGTCTGGAGGGAGCTTCTATTAGCTTCGATTGGAGAACAATTTTCCAAAGATTTAAAACCATGTATTTACTAAACATTACAATATTTATATATGCGTATACTTTTGAGTTAAAAATTGATTGGAATGTAGTATTATTATGTATGATGTAATTTATCTCGTATTTTAGTAGCATCGTATCTTAATGCTAGTACGACAATATTGTTACATTTTATTTCACCTTTAGATGATGATATATGCGGTGTAAGCATTAGCATCAGAGAAAAGAGCGATGTAGTACAAATATGGCATGCTAACGCAAATAACAAAGAAAACTTTATAACCTATGTAACTAATTCACTTCATATAGTAGTCTCAATATCAGCGGAACGTGAACGACTTTGATATTTAGTAAGCTAATTTAACATTTTAGATTGAAAGGAAACTGAAGCAATTGCTACCGACTATAACTCTAGAACAGGCATATTACAAGTGTATGTCCAGATATCCAATTGCTTGCTTTACTTGATAAATGAGAAATAATGTTTAACGTAAACCGTAAAATTGAAATTGCCTTTTATTACTTTAGCTCATCAAGATCATCAGGCGTTTGAAGGGGTTAACGCGCGCCAAACAGCAAAAATGAACAGGCCTTGAAAATATCAAAGAATATCATATATCGGCATTTAGCCAAATGAATAGCTATGATCTATAATTTATGAAATGGTATTATTTATTTTATTTGACATATTATTAAGATAGTACATTTTGACGTGATTAATACCAAATATTGATATTTAGAATGTACAAACTGTACTTTTAACCAGTACTGAATTAGTTTAAAAGTTGTGCATTAAATGTTTGTTCCTATTTCATTATATCATAGATGCCGAATATAGCTTTCCTTAAATTCTTGAAAAATTTAATCAATTACTGTACCAATTAGCTATTACCATCAATTGAAAGTGATTTGTGTACAACCCTATTCGAACGATATCATAGTTTTCTTCATTATCCAATTTACTGTGCGTGTGATGTCAAAATTATGGCCAATCAATTATCTTTCGCATGCATTTATTTCTTCATCATTAATTGTTTGATTTCGATTTACTAGATATTTTAAGAGCGGCATTTGACTGTCATGAAAGTATGCAAGATACAATATAAAAAAATTATGATAATTTTTGGAATAAAATTCTAAAATTATCACCCTATGCCGGTTTGTTTTATTACAATTGACGATTAGTAATTCTGGACGGACTTTTACACTATGTACGTATAGACATTAGACAAATCGTACTATCAAAGTGTTGGAAGCTTTTTCCAATGAATTAGGAGTGCCTGAGGCAAAAATGGCTTACGGTTGAACAAAATGATGTTGGAAGAACATTGAGGGTCTTTATTACAGAGATTATTGGTCAACAATAGATGTATACGAGTTCTCGTCTACCCTTTACTGTTTATAAAAAATAGATACGTGTATACTGTATTACCTAGATCAAGCAATAACAAGATGGATGGAAATTACACTACAGTTTTTGAATAGTATTTTATTCCATCCTTACCAAAAGTTAATATTATACAGCTAATATTGATGTTCAATTCCTTTCCTACATTATACTTTCGCGTTGTAATGTATCCACGTATAATATATGTGTAATTGACTACACTAGTATACTACTGTATTACGTTGCTAATTTTATGCATTAAATGTATAATGTTGACTGTGTGTTAAATCTGAGGATCGCCCCGAGATAAATGATTTATTTATTAGTATTAAAGGCAGCGATGATTTTATAGCAGTAGCCCTAATTCAGTATTTCACTACCACAATTAACATTTCACTTTGGACTGGCTGTAATCAGGTTTAAAATATACTCCTACTAGTATTGTTTTAATTGCAATCTAGAATTAATCCATTTTACTTAAGAATTTTAAATGCATTAATTAAGAAACAATCAACAGCTGCCTATTGTAGCTTGGAGGTAAAGCTTGAATTTATTAAACTAATTAATATGAATGGACTGTATAAGTTTGACACATCCTATCGTCAGCAGTTTTTATGGTTTTCAGCTGTTAACAATTTGATTTAGATGGCCACTAGGTGCTAACCTTGCAAACGATTGATTTCTAAATAATGGATAGTGTTATGTCCAGGTAAGGTAGTTAGTGCTGATGTAATAAGTAATGTTCGTAGCAAGATTTCCATATAATTCCTCATATGGTGTAATTGTCTTAAGTTAGTAATCCCTACTTAAATATGGATGCATAAAAATTGACAGCATTTCGTTGAAAGCTGTGCAAGCTAAGCTAGAGACAGAGCTAGCGTAGAGTTATTGATTAGACTTGATCTCATTACTCGTTGGTAAACATATCGGCTTTAGTATAGTTTTGTATCATGTTACTTGTTGGTAAGTTATCATTTGAACTAAATAAATTGGATATTTTGACGGATTTATAAGTCTGGTCATTATTCATAAAGTCTATCTCGAGCTAGCTTTAGCAATTCCGATTATCAAGGCGATTCCCAACATATCTGTGATGCATATACAGTACATCTATTCATTATAGATAGTCGGTTATCAGGCAATCTGAAATTATTTCCTTTCAAAATTGAGCATATCAAAGTAGTATTTGGTATTATCGTAGGTAATAAGTATTGGAAATAGACGACTTTCAACAGCTGATGGTTCCGTTGCAATGATTGCAGAATAGGCTTCGTCAGAAATAGAACTGCATGCTCAAATCCTGTGCTGAAACTTGGACAGGATGATACATGTTTATCTGAACCCATATGCTCAATTTTAGACAATTTCGTCAACATTCATCTATCAAAAGTTTCAGCAAAGGATTTGAGCATGCAGTTGTACTTGCAACAGGGACCTACCGCAGAATTAACTGCCGTTGCTTATTAATCCGTCATAGCTAGAATACTACTCAGTTTTGATATCCAAGGGTATTTTTAACAGTAACAACTATCAAATTGAAGGGTTCCTATATGTCGAAGCAAAGCTTTTTTGTTTTAAGAAGTGGTAAGTTAAACCTATGAATAACTATCGTTAAATAAAGAACAAGCCAATAGCATGATTAAGTTTCCCAATGTTAGTCAGTTTGGTATTCAAGGTTTCTTTACGACCCCAAGTCTCAAAATGAAGGACTTTCTAAACGTAAAAAATGAAATGTGTATTTAATAATCGGATAAGTTCAAACCAACGACTACCATCGTTGTATCAAGAACAAGCCAAAAGTACGATTAAGTATCGCCAATGCTAGGCAATTTGATATCTAAGGATGCCTTTATCAGTTACAACTCTCCAAATGAAAACTTTTAGCATACGAAAATATACGTTTTGGAACCAATGAGTCCAAATCCAAGTCTAATATAGTTGTATAAGAACAAGCCAAAGGCATAAATTAGTTTCTCAATGCTAGTTAGTTTGATATCCAAGGGTGTCTTTACGGTCCAAGATTTTACCAGCCATAACCATCAAACTATGGAATGGTTTTCTAGGCGTAAAAAATAAAGTTTTTGCATTGAATAACCGGGCAAGTTCAAACTAGTAACTACCATAAATGTATAAAGAGTAAGGCGATAGCATACTAGTCAATTTGATCTATCCAAGGGTGTCTTTACCAGCTTTGCCAGCCGCAACGTTGCCCTCAAAATTGAAGGCTTGTAAACGTAAAATGAAAGTTTTATACTTCATAATCGGCTAAGTTGAAGTGAATGACTACTATAGGTATTTAAGGAAGAAGCCAATAGCCAAGATTAAGTTTCCCCATGCTAGTCAGTTGGCTATCCAATAAAAGATTTTCTCTACATACGCGTAAAAATAAAGTTTACATCTATATTGAATCGCCAGTAAGTTAAAACCAATGACTTCCATCGTTCTACCGCATACAGAACAAGCTGATAGCGTGATTCAATTTCCCTTCCAAAAAGTTGAAAAGCCGTAATTGAGTAAGCAATCAACAATTCGATATGATAAATAGGGTTTAATTAACCAACCTAATCCACAAATAGTAGGAAATCTTGCCAGCTTCCTTCTTGATAGCGTCATTATTGTTAAGGTGTTAACCATGCAAGCAGTGGTTTCTTACACTTAATCTCTCCTTTCTGTAGTTGATTTTTTTGCCACCTAGTACCGGTAAAGTCCATAGGGTGTATTTCTTGAATGTAAAGTGGAAGTATTTGAATAAATAATTTAAATATTGCCTGTTAACGCCTACTATGAACTACTTTAACCAGTTCAAAGGTAGAAAAAAATGACATGTGATTCCTTTCTTCTTCCTCTTAATACTACTTAATATAGAATTCTATTATTGATCCAATTACGTCAGTTTTGGCCTCATTGAAAAAAGTAAATATATTTCTTGACATAGTGGAAAGGCCTACAATCGTCTATACATGTATAAGAAAAGGATCTTCATTCGATCTCCTTGATATTCAGGTAGCGTAAGAAGAGAGTAGAAGAGTTGATCGCTTTATTTTTTCCCCATCCTTATTTTCTTAACGTTCGATCTAATTACCCTATCGATAGAATAGGCATCGTTGAGTTTTGAAGCTTTCTTTTTTTCAGAAATAAGGGAATTATTGGTTTAAAAGATACGGTAAGACGATAGGAGAAGATTGATTGGTAATAAAAGATAAATCTAGATGTTTAGACTAGGATAATTGGTATTGATATGGAAGACTTTAATAAACCCTATTTAGCATGGCCGACGAACCGCATCGAAGTAAGAAGAAAGCCAAAAAACATCGTCATAAGAAGAAACATAATAAAGCAGGACCAGGTAATATTGCTTCGTGCCATGAAATGAAATAGCGATTTGTTTTTTTTACTACTTAAATCATTCGAGGAGGGGAAAATTGAATTTCAATCAGGATAAGAACTACCTGTAATCAGTAGCATAGAAAAGAAACGAATAGAATAGGAATAATATTTCATCTCTTATCCCATATTGACGTGGATAAATGGTATAAAACTGCAAAGGTTTTCAATCAGGTTTTATTGCTCAGTATGAAATGAAATGACGATTCGTTTCTTGGCTGGTTTAATCACTTGAAGAGGGGAAAATTGGATTTCAATCATAACAAGAACTACCTGTAATTAGTAGCATAGAAAAAAAAAAGAATAGAATAGTAACAACATTTCATCTGTTATCCTAATTGAAATGCATGGATAGCATAAAACAGTCAAGATTTTAAATTAGGTCATGCTGCTCGGTATGAAATAAAATCACGACTTGTTCCTTTGCTGGCTCAATCACTGCAGGAGGAGAAAATGCTATTTCAATCATGATTACCTGTAATCATAGCGTAGAAAAGAAAGTAATAGAGAGGGAACAACATGTCGTCCGTTATTCATCAATTTTTCCTTATTGATTTGTATGGTATTAAATAGAGAAAGATTTTCAATGATTAACTATTTATGGGAATAATTTGCCAGTTGAAAGGCCATTGAGACTCCAAGCTTATTATTTAACACCAAACGACTAGTTACTCGATAAGTTCGTCTTTCAACTTTTTTATTATTTTATCCAATTGCGGAGAGGATCTATTTGACAATTTGGTCACTTCTACGTTGCGTTTTAGAAAACGATGACGATAACTATCTTTCAATTTATTCTTTATCGCTGATTTGATTAACCATAACCAACGATGATATATTGTCTATGTTCGGTGCTAGGGAAAATACGATTAGGGATTCTTGTCTTGATCTATTAGTGAGAAGAGATTACTACTATAGTATGTGAGGAAAAGGTAGTCCGTTTTCAATTAATCAACTGCTAGGTTAGAATAAAAAAAAATCGAAATAAATAGTAACCGATAGCTAACTTATTTAGCAACAGTAACGATTGGCAGAACAAGCTTAGTTATGGTTAATTTATTATAAATTTCGATCATTAAATGGTTGAATTATCTACAGGGAAATTTTAGACTTTTAACGTCAGTCAATCACTAGAGTATGTACGTGGATTGAGTCCAAACTCATTTGAATTCCTATTGCGTTCACAAAAATGGCAAGGGGAATAATTCTAGGTGACTTAGCTTAAATAAACGAGATCATTAGATGATGAAATCATCGACAGAAAATTTAGACTTGTTACGTCGGTCAACTACTAGAGTCAATTGGATCCAGACTCATTTAGATTCTACAAGAACGGCAAGGAGAATAAACTTTGTCGACTTCGCTTCAACGAGATCATAAGATGATTTAATCATTTACAGAAAATTGAAACTCTCGCATTACGTCAGCCAACCGCTAGAGTATATTGGATCCAAATTCATTTCGATTGAGTTCACAATAATGGTAGCCTTCCTTAATCATAGTCAACTTCGCTCAAAATGAGATCCTCAAATTGTTCAATCGCCTAAGCTTGGATAACTAAAGAATGACAACTTTGTTATAGCATTGCTTTATCCCCTCGAAGCTGGATTCAATCTTTGCTTCTATTTTACGACTGACTATGGTTGGCCATCATGTCAGAAGGTTTAATTTCGTCTTATCATGTAGAATAATGATTTCAAATTGCGTTGTAGTTAATAAATTCATTTATTTCTTGATTGGTTTCCTGTCGTGTTCGTTGTTATTGCAAGCTATCGATGATCTCGTCGAGATTGGATGACTGTGCAATAGTGTGCATCTTTCTATGTTGGACATTCGTCAGGATTCCATATTGAAATGATTGCACATGATGGTTGGATCGGCTGGTCAAAAAGTCATTTTTAACTTCTAATTGAAGTGGAGTTTTACTGTAGTTAAACAGTTTTCGTATGAACGCCTTAAGGAAGCATTGGACAACATAACTAATGTTGTTATTAAATCGAACCTCTGACAGCAGCCGTGTAAAGCAAAGACTACTATTAAGATTCTCTTCTAGTGGTAGTCTTCGGCTATAGCCATGCTGATCAAATACATACTGGCAAAATGAACATGAAATCGGATGATGTCAGTTGAATTTTATTACACATCGATCGTATAGACTGATGATTCCATTTCAACATTTCCATAACTTCTATCCTATGGACTAATTAATTAACTGATGGTTAACTTCCGTATTAACTGAATTCTATCTTAATCAAGCGGAAGAATGATTCAATCTCTACGCAGTATAGCAGCGATGATATGATAACTATAATCAATATCTTCACTTATCGTATCCTGGCTTAATACTCTGTAGCGAAGTAGTTAGACCATGTTTTTACCAAAATTCATCGTATTGACTTGGTGATTAACTTTCATGATCTCTTTCTGACTGCCAACGAATCGCATTCCTTACAAGGAAGGCGTAGTATAATGTAGAATCTAGCTCTAATTACATCGATATTTGTAGTACTTATATCGATCAGTTGCATTCCGTCCAAGGGATGCATAGTATGTTATAGCGAGAGCTAGATTTCACCAACATTTGTAGATTGATTTATTAATTGACTTAAATGATAAATAAAAGCCCATGTTCTTGATATGTACAAGGATATATCAATACATCGGCCGTTATATCATTGCATCCCTTACAAATGCAGCATATTAGAGCTAGAGCTAAATTTCACCAACATTTGTAGATTGATTTACTAATTAAGTTGCATGGTAGATACAAGTTGTATCCAATTTAATATCTTTACAAGTAGATCGGCAATCTGATTAGTACACTACTGTATAGCAGCTAATTACGTGGCTGCAGTTACATTTTTCGATTGCATTAACTAACTGATGATTAATGACCGTGATAACCTTGTCTTCAATCTTTGCTTGTTATAATTATAAATCAATCTAATCTCTTACATTTGTTTACAAGTACACCGTTACATAGTACAGGATAGTTCGGTTTTGCCAATATCTGTCTATATTGGATTCGTACCGGTTTGTTGATGATAAAACTACTTGATCAAGATGCGACTTTTTTTAAAGACCATCTTACTTGTTGTCAATCTAATAAATTGTATCTCTTACAACGAGTTGCAAATCCATATAGCTCACTTAGCTGGTGCTAAACTTCGACAATGTCGATCATCCAGATAGCTACACAGACTGGCTGGCAGATACTTAAGTTAACTTGCCTAATTATAATGAATATCAATGAATTAATAATGATCATTTCTTAATAAATTGTTTTTGGCCTACAGCCCAGCCCGCCCATGCTCATAAATAAATATCTTTGCACCGTGCTTTACTAATATTACTTAAGCTCGTGCATAGTAACAATTTTGAACGCAGTATCCCTCTAATTTTAACAGTTTGCAAAAGAAAAATGGCAGGTAATAATTTAACACAATTGACATTTACTATATAATACCAAAAAATTGTGTTAACCATTTCCATTTTGATTGACATGAGAATGCTTAAACTAACAAAAATAGACGGGAAATCATTTTAATTGGGCATACTAACTTGATGTTGTTGACATCTCTACAACTGTCGTGAGTCTCAGAATTAATCATGAAGTATTGCAAAACTACCCTCATTTCCAGCATTATTTCACTCACTAAAGTTTGTTATAGCTATTCATGCTACTGGTATAATGTTGCGTTTCACTACTTAACGGTATCTTTGCTGTTCTTATTGCTGTCTTATTGCTGTCCACTGTTGCAAATGGGTAAATGAACTGATAATTATTTTTGATTGAATTGATGCAATTTACACTATAACAGTATGCAAATAGTTTAGAGGCTGTAATAATTGTTTCTCTGTTCTAATGAAAGTGTAGACCTGAGAAAGGTTCGGTTAGTCATTTTCGAATTTATTGAATGAATTCACTAATTTACTCGCAAATTGATTTTAAACGGTACACTAGATACGTAGTAACTTGCAAGCCATAGTGAGATACCTCTAGACTTACAGCATGATATTATTTCAGTTAATCGTGATTGGTTATTTACGGCTGGAATCAGAGCATTCGAAATTGCTTTACTTCTAGGAATTAAGCTATCAGTTAAATCAGAGAATGATTTTAAAAGACTCTTGGAGTAGTACTCAGCACTCTATTGATATGTGCTCCAGTCTTTTATAGAGAATTAATTTACAAATTATACAATCCAAACCCAATTTTGGGGGCTGGGCTCAAATATCTGCAATATAGTATTAATGCCATCACACACTAGTTTAGTTTCTTTTTTACAGGAATGAAATAGATTACATGATTTACTTACCCTAAATTCTACACAAATAATAGCGTTAACATACGACATGACACCGTGCAGTACTAGAAGATTTCCCTCTAGTCAATCTAAAGATACATAACATATTCATGCTGTAAATTGCTGTTGCCAATAGTGTATTTACTGCAAAAGCGATCTCATTAACATGCTAAAGACAATTTTGGCGAATTTACTTGTCATTAATTCATTCCGTAGTATAGATGGATATATGTTGATAAATACGAGTAGAATTGTTAAAGCTAAAGATAAATTATAATTATTAACGACTTGCTACTAATTGAGCTCGGGTCAATTTTACTAGAATCAATAGCAAATAGTAGAGATCATTAACTTTGGTATCTTTATGTTGATTAATAAATAGTAATATATTTAACACTGGAAGTTTATCTAAGTTAGCGGTGTTTGGTACAGAATAACAATCATGACATTACGGAAGATAAATGGATATGATTCACGCAATAGTCAACGCTAAATTTTGTTACTCTTTCCAACAGTCGAAAAAATTACAATAATGATTGCTGTAGATTGCTGATCAACTATAGGCAAAGTAGTAGCTAACAGTATATTTACCAAATGTAAGCATGAGCAATTATTATAATATTAACTAAATTTTTACTCTATTCCTTTCCAATTATATTATTACTCATCAGATGAGGATGGTCTTAGTAATCAGGTATGTTTAATGTTTATGATGAGAACCATTTATAACTTAATTGTAAGCAGCTCTTTTGACGATAGTAAATCACGGCTAATGTCTAAATTTTAGAAAAGTTACGTGCTTTAATTGATATTGGATTATGTATTACATTAATTATAGGGAAGTTCTAAAAAAGATCAAGGTGCCTTAGCTATAGCTAAAGAAGGTATAAATGAAGAAATGGACATAGAATCGAGCAGTTCATTACCTGTAAAAGAGCATATGAATGATAACGAAATAGCTAAGACGGATGATAATGAAGATATACATGCAGAAACAGGATATGCTACTCCATCGGATGATCTTGAAAAAGAGATCAATAATACGAGCCCAGAAGTGGAATTAGAAAATAGGAATGAAAGTGAAGGAAATCGAATATCTGTGCACTCTTCTGATAATGATACTTCTCCTGATTTGCAGAGAGATTCAAGTACCGTTGACGATCAAAAGGAGAGCAATAGTATCGAGATTTCAGATCATAACGAAATCGTGAATCTGACAACAAGAGAATCTCAGTCCAGTAAGGAAGAAACTCAGCAAGAAGGAGATGAAGTAATATCTGAATCTGCAGAAATTAGCTTTCAACAAGCTGTAGACTTAGAAAAGGAAAATAATCCCAAGATGGATGAAATACAACAATCGCAACGCAACGATGAAAGTGAAATGGACCTTGAAAAGCAAGGAGGTTCCAATAAAGAAGAAACTTACCAAGATGGAGATGGAGTAATATCTGAATCTGCAGAAGTTAGCTTTCAACAAGCTGTAGACTTAGAAAAGGAAAAGAATCTCAAGATGGATGAAATACAACAATCGCAACGCAACGATGAAAGTGAAATGGACCTTGAAAAGCAAGGGGGTTCCAATAAAGAAGAAACTTACCAAGAGGGAGATGGAGTAACATTTGAATCCGTAGGAATTACCTTTCAAGGAACTGCCGACTTAGAAAAGGAATATAATCATAAAGTGGATGAAATACAACCATTACAACATAATGAAGAAAGTCAGATGGACCTTGAAAAGCAAGTAAGTGAAATCGCTCAAGAAGCTCATGGTCAAAGTTCATCATTGGAAGTTCAAGATAAAGTAGAGATAAGTAACAATGAATTAATGGAAGATACTAGCGACATGGATAAGTTGAAAAATCAATCTTTGGCCGATACACTAAGCCAAGAAGGATTACTTAAAAGTGAAGAATTACAGTTTGCTAAAGCTATAGCGACTGATACATCAAACGATTATTCCCCACAACCAGTAGACAGCGAGTCTAACAGTAAAATAATCGAGACGGAATTAAAAGATGAAGCAACTAGTGATGTTAATAGTAAAAATAGATTTAAAGAAATAAATAATCACAATGCTAGCTTTAAACTGGAGGATTCTGAAGCGGCTACAGTTTTAGCTGGAAATTTATTGGAGGGGCAATACATTCAAGAAAGAAGTACTTTGGAATTAGAGCCAGAAATAAAAGTAGTTGGACATGAACAGAAATCACCACTACGTTCACAGAATCGAGATGAAGGTGAGGAAGTAACTCCACTTACAGGACAAAATCATCATATAAAAGCTACAAATGTTTCTCAGAATACGATACCAGACCCGTTGGTAACAAACGCCATGTATGATAACACAAATAATGATCGAAATATTCGAGAAGACAACGACATTGACACTTGGGATCAGAAAGTAAATGAAAATATAGAACCTAATCATGGTGAACGAACTCCACTTCTCAATAACTCTGAAGGTAATCAAAAAGCTACAGATTCGTCTACTTGCAGCTGCTGTATAATCCTGTAAAACTCTTATCATGAAAAGAATTCTAGTTAAGCTATTGTGTAAGGAAATGATAACTACCAAATAAAATTAATTTTTTCCAATCGGAAATCTTGTAGCATCAATACTTTGTGTAATTGGAGGTTATCTAGTAGCTGTGCTATAACGCAATTTGTTTAATTTCCAAATCAAGAGCAAATCAATATTCACAATAAATGGTTAAATATTTTATACATTTTTTAGTCGCCTTTATTGTGGCGAACCGTTTCAAATCAGTTCAGTTTTTAATTACAATTATTAGAATAGAATAAGTCGTCAAACGACTAACTGATCAAGCTGGGCTTGCCCGTACACAGATTCGATTCTTGTACGCATTTGGATAGCGTACGTACATGATAAAGTGAGTTTATAATTACAGAAACTGGCTCAAAATCAAATACGAATTGTATGTATAGATAACTGCAAGAAGTAAACATACATAATTTTGAAAATGTAAAATAGTCTTGCCCTTGGCCTGTAATGGGAAAATGTGGTTGAGAACATGTTATGCTTGCTATACAGTAAACCAGATTTAGAAAATTGTATTTTAGTAAATTCATCCGTTACAGTATTTGCAAGCTCATGATTGTCACCCATACTGATTAGAACCTTGAGCTAAAACGTAAAAATAAACGAATATTGCGTAATATTTAGCATTAATTACCGGACTATTTGTGAAATGTCACGTAAATAAAATAACAATGAGAAAGTAAGCGTATACCCTGCTCAAGACATTTTTCTCGATGTACTGCAAGATGATGCTGAAGGCATAAATTGGTAGCTGGTGAGTTCATTTCTTGAGTGATATGAGCTGAAGGTAATCGACTGTTACTATGACACAAATAAATACGCATGTAATTTTTAAAAATCAAGAAATTCTGATTAAACTAAATCACCAACATAATGGATCTAAATATTAGTAAATTAAGAAGTGATAATGTACGCTACCGGATATTTCGTTCAACGTCCATCAAATTATTAATATTGACCCTTTGTCGAACTTCCTTTTCATATCCTATAGAATTTCAAAACTATCAATATACAGATAATAACGAGAGCTATTAGATATAATTAGGTACAATTACAGCACCTTGCGTTGCCTGGCGTTCCTCTTCTCGCGTAAGCTCTTGGTCTTTATCATCTAATAGCAACGATTCATGCTCAAATGGCGCCTAAATAGGTTCCGAGAAAAATAATGGTTCAAGAGTTGCCTAATAAATTGATATGATGACATCATCAAACAAGATATACCTTTGTCAGCCAATGCCCATTCTTTTTTATCGTATTTGCCATGAGAAGATCATCGAATTGAAGTTTACTGAGATCTACATATGGCTCATGCGTATACTGCGTATAATCATCGCAAATGTTATAAATCCTTTCTAGTAATAGAAATAACATTTAACTTTACAACCTATTTAACAATTAAGAATATATACCGTTGACTGTATGGTAGTTTCTAATTCTCTACTAGTAAAAACTGCACCAGGATGTCTCTCGTCGATGATTCGACCTACAAATACAAACATTTGAAGTCAACTATCGTTTAACTATATTCAACGTGATAGTTCAGATAAAATGAGTAACGTAAGCTACAGCTGCTAATTGTATATTAAAATGATAATTTATTAGACATGCTATGATATTTTCTTACGTGAAAGGCCTTGTTTACGAATTTGGCGTTTATAAATTACATGTTCCATCGTGTTACTACCTACCAAACGGTAAATGTAACACGGTTTCTTTTGTCCGTACCGGTAGATTCTAACGAATAAAAGGTAAAATTTTAGTATTGGAAGTAATCACATCCTCAAATGAAACATACTTTATATAGTGACAGTCATTCGTATAATAAATGATAACCTAAATGCTGCTTGATTATCGTAACATGGATTCCAGGCTGAGTCATAAATAACTACACGATTTGCAGCTACAAGATTAATACCAAGATTACCAGCTCTATTAAATCATAAGAGTCAATTTTATGTTAGCATGATTACTTGCATTTACGTTACTTTATGTAATAAAAATCAAATCGCGACAAACAGTTACACCGATACTGTACTGTATGTTATCGATCGTTAATGTACTGTAATTAATTTTATTACAATCTGTATTGATGCCTCCACGGTACCTGGTAGAAATTAAGAAAAGCCATACGGAGTTGTTGTCGGGGGAATTAAATAAATCAATTAATCGAGAACGTTCATGACTAGGTACGCTACCGTCGATACCTAAATTATATTTCATAGTTATAAAGTCACAGTTACAATTTCTTAAAATCTTCCATAACTTACTTATTAATAGATGCAACCATTAATTTTCTTTACATCGATATTGTAGCGATAACGTAAACGTTGTGAAGTTTGTATTAACTTACGAAAGTAACTTTCATTCTTAGCCCATTTTTTGTTGTTTCCTTCAGACGACGTGCATGGTATTTCGATTTTTGATAGAAAGTGTTCTATTATTGATAGAGTTACTAGGCTTTGGCTAACGTAAGAAACAAGTGTTAATACGTTAGAGTTGCAACAGAATAATATCATCAACACAGATGGGTAGCCAAAAATATTTAATAAAACTAAATGTCAGAATACCTGAATATTAACATTCGATCACCAAGTTTTACGCTATTTTCAATTAAATCCATTAATATTACCATTTTTCCACCATGTTCGAGAACTCCAGGTGCATAATGCGCCATCGATGGAAACGCCTGTAAAACGTAGATATTGTACTCGTATAGCGCAAGTTATTACAATTAGAGTAGTGAGCATTTAAGTTATTAACTGACCCATGAATAATCTATGGATGACCCTTCGTCTTCTGTTTTATTGGTACGTCTGGTTACTTTAGTTTCGTGATTGCCATGAACGTCAGAATTATCATTACTAGTATTAGCTCCAAGTTCTAATTCCAAATCACGATCTGCATCGTTCTATTAAGTTATTGAAAGTACTCCATTAAGTACTATTAGTAACCACTCAGACACTCAGACAGTATGTGAACTTTGGTGTAAATTTTACAGATTATAGATTAAATGGCACTTAACTCTACGATATTAGCGTAATTATACTAAAAAAGTTACGTTCAAGCTCGTAGTGCTTACTAAGATATCATTTTGGTAGGTTTTATCTTGTTCCATTATAGCCCGGTGTAACACATCAGGATGATTCCAAACCTGAATTATAAGTATATCGTGATTTAGCAGCCGTAGGGCCTGTAAGTCAGAACAACACATCTTAGAGTTTATGAGATACTGTACATACGTACTTTATACAAGACAGAAAAGGCTAATAAAACGTTAGCGCCAATCTTTAAGCTAATTTTGGTCCAATTTTTTTTAATTACACATTCAATGAAAGCATTATATAGTCTTTCTTGGATAGGTGACATCCTAATCAGTAAAACGTATTCCTTCTTGGGTAGTAAAGCGTCTTTCAATATTTTTTGGCTTCGCCTTGTGTTTATGGCAACAATTGGACGGAAATAAAATATTATTCAGTATACACATACTTAATCAATAATATAAAAACAAAATACTCAATAGTACGACTACAATAATACCTTTGTACAAAGCCTTTTAACATTTTCTGTAAAACGTACGATCTGAACCTCATTTTTTTAATGTCCTGTAATCATATGTACAAACATTATTAATGAAACTTCCAATGTTGATTTCTGATCATGTTAATATAATAGTATGCATACATTTGGTGTACTATCAACACATTCGCCGTTAGCTATAGGTCGTTCAAACATGTTAGAAAATTGTTTTTTATCACCGAGGTAGTTAGGTCTAACGAAATCCACCATACACCAATATTCTATTAGATTATTTTGTATCGGATAGCCTGTTAAAACTATTCGACGTCTGTTTGGATTAAGCGATAAAAAAGAATATTTACTCAACCACGCGCTATAATGCGTACGGTAGTGAAATATTGAAAATTACTTTGTCTTAATTTCTTTTAAAGTCTTCGTAACAGAAGCTGTTGCATTCTTCAAGATATGCCCTTCATCACATATTACTAAGTCTGGGCCCGGATCTGATAATGCAAGACGAATATCTACGGAATTTATCAAAATAAGTATCATGAGAGTTAGTAGGTGAACTAATTAAATAATGGATATACGCGTATAACTAATTAAAGATATTATTAAAAAACTTACCCTTAATGTATTGCGATTTTTCTTCTATGAGATCTAAATCGACAATTTCCATACTATCGGAAGAAGCAACTTTCTTTCCCTTCTTCTTTGTGTTGTTTTGATATGCTGACATTGTCATTAATATACGGTACATATCGTAGCCAATAATTAGGACACCTCCAATATTTCGCCATTCATTAATGATGTTAGCTCTATCTTTTAATGATTTGCAATTGCTGCTGATTTGGTAGACCTTAAATGGGCGTTGGTAATTGAATTTCTGTAGTAGAAAGAAGAAATTAAAGTGAAGATTGTGCATGTACAATATTGCATTCATACGTGCTCTACAACATAATCGCTACAGCTTTATTGATATCTCCTTACAGAGAGATGAGCGGAGGTAGAACTTGGCAACCAGTAATTTATTTCATTTAGCCAGTGGTCTAGAGTAGATAGAGGTACAATACATAAAACACATTTTGCGCTTAATGCACGTAAGAAGATTTCGATGAAAGCAACAACTTGTAACGTCTTTCCAAGACCCATTGAATGGGCTAAAATACAGCCCAAGCCGTCACTTATTCTGTAGCGCTTAAAAGATTCCACTACATTGTTAAATAGAAACTTGATACCTGCCACCTATCCAATGACCGATAGTTAATTTATATATTAAGGTCACGAATGCAAGGAAGATGATATGGAGAGTGCAATTACTAGGTAAGTAAGTATGCTATTTACACACACGATATGATTACCTGATGAGTCTTCAAAACAGGAATTAAATGAGGAGAGATGCAAATATCTATCTCAGAGGTAGGATGATTAGCATTAATTATTCCACGACTTGGGGGAGAGTTACGAAGAGTTAAGTAATGCTTATAGACGTCATCAGATGTAAGTTCTTCATCATCGGAACTAAGGCTATAGTAACCAGCGATGGTTTTCTCTTCTCCAGGACGATCAGTATCTTTAATCTCCAATTTGTCAATAAGTGGATCCCGTCATGTTTATGATAAAACGAAAATCCTATAATTAGTTATTTATTATTTACTGTTAGTAGAGAGGGTAAGTCATAATCATTCTGTTTGATAAATGTATAGTAGATCTGAATTTTTTATTTATAATAATATTGATAAGTATTTAATACTAATATTACGTATAGTATTTGCTTGTAATGAAAATTTATTGCTATTTCATGGCTAGAGTATACTACATAATAAGAATTCTAGGACGAAATCGTATTCGCTACTTCAATAACATAACGATCGCAGTTTATCTAATTGTTTTAGTTGTACTTTATTAGTAATAATGAATACAGGATTCTAATTTTTATCGTACGATAAAATAGAAATGAGTTATGATCAGTGTGGGAAAGCATTAGCACTATTAAATGATATAAATACATCATTTTTTCTGTATTTGGGATGGATGGCTTATTTCCTATTCATCCCGTTTAATATATCATGGACAATCGCATTGGGGTTCCTATTACTGTATGGCGTATCTACGATAATTTTCTCTTATGATACAGTTCAAACATTTTCTGTGTTATGGAATGATTATTTTGCAAGATATACATTTCGATACGCGTTGTATTTGATAGAGTAGAGAAATCTCATCAACCGTCAATAATCAAGAATACGATTCGTACTCGCATGTAGTGAACAAAAGTATTATATCAATATAGATGAGTTGGAATTTAAAGATGACAAGATTAAAGTACAGTAAGATTGGAGTATAAGTTAGTGTGTCTTGGCTAGCATAGACTTTAAAAGATCATTTGATGTTGAAGATGGTATCGAATTGAATGGACTAACTCTTTTGGATATCAACCGCGTAAGCTTTCAGGATATTTGTGATTGTTTGCTACTTGGCCTATGCATGAAGATGGATTGGATTGAATTAAAGATGTTGAGATAGGATTGTAATGTACTAATGGAGTGGGTAGTTCGGTTCGATGGAATGAGTAGTTAGACTGATATTGATGACAAATTTTTGGGTATGTGACAGTGAGGACGAGTCCAAGTGATGCTATTGATGGATGAAAAGTAGTATCTATCTGTAAGATTGCATATCATGAATATTGATGATGATGTAGTTTACAATATGCATGATGGCATTTCGATATGTTTCAATGATGGTCCAAAGTGATCGAGTGAATGGTAGGCCTAAGTAAGAAAATGATTGGTTTATGATTGTTCACTATTGGGTCCGTATAGGAGGATTATTGGAAGGCAAGTGGATAGAAATATGAAAATCCAGTATTAAAATGGAGTCTTATTTTAGCGCGCAACTGTGTGTCCATATTGTACCTGTTGGCGCCCACTTGGATCGTCAGCAAGTTGAATGGTCTGTTTGGGAGAGAAAGTTTCATTTTTCGATTTGTTGTTGTCATGGCTATTTTCGTCTTCGCTACTGCTATCAATAACAACGATACAAGAAGAACTTGTGCAAGGATTGGTTACACTGGAGGTTGAGTGGACCACCATTTTGCTATCTTCTGATGATATCGACGAATGATAACCGCTAGATAATTGATGGATTGCTTCTTGAGTTGCCTCTTCATCACTACTACCATCGAGAATAACCACAGGATTGGAAAGAGACGCAGCTACTGGCGTCAATTCATCAGCAATATCGGGTATATGATAGGATGGATCATTGATCAAGCCTAATCGAGTTAATCGTTGTCGCTCTTGATGTTGTGCTTGTAATGTTGGCTGGCTAAGAGCGCGAAAAGGTTGAACTGGTTGAATTTTTTTACGTTTGCTTTGATAATCGCTGAAGAAGAATGGATACTGGAGAGTGTCATTGGATCGATTGAAATTGGCGGTCAGAGGATGAGATGGTTGATTGGAGAGTGGATGTTGTCTTTTCATCTTCTCCTCTGTATCGCTAGCGCTATTATTCTTTCAAGACTATTTCAAACGATGGAAAAAGTCCAGTGGAAAAAGCTACAAGTGAAAAGAGATTTGCAATTGCTTTTGGCCATCTTGTCTTGCTACTCCATCATCATAGTGGAACAGTGTTGACACGCTGGCCGCTTCAATCCAACTACTTTCAGCCTTACCCTTGACGTCAGACTTGGACCGGTACGGGTACCAGTTGAGATCGACTGAAGTACCAATCATGGAATGACTGTGATCGTATCACTTTCACTAGTTCCTGACTGTACCATGGGCTAGTTTAGTTACTTGTGACTCCATGGCTGTTATGGACTTTTTTCTACTGTACTCAACACGGTACAGTGTTTACTACTGTACTGTACATAGGGTACTGTCCTATGGACTGCGAAGGAACATGGATATATTTATTTATTTATTTATTTACTGGAGAATCGACTTCATACGACAACACTTTTGAAAGTATTAGGGGTAATTATTTTCAAAAGTGTTATTACAGACTGTATTTCAGCAGTCAGTGATGTTCATTAAGCAATGGTCGAGAAAGGCTAGCCATACAGTACATCATTCCTACTGTACAGAGCTGTAACTGTAAGTACAAGTACTGTACATACCAATATTATGAAGTTTTAATAGTAAGTCTATATTTTAAACTATGTGGAACATTAGCCGCCACTTCTCCGCGCCAGTTATAATAGGTTTTTGTATAGGAAGACCTACAGTATGAAGCTTTTAATAGTAACTCTGTACTTTAAACTATGTGGAACATTAGCCGCCACTTCTCCGCGCCAGTTTTAATAGGTTTTTGTATAGGAAGACCTGTGAAACTTTATAGTAACCCTGTATTTTAAACGATGTGGAACATTAGCCCCATTCATCCGCGCCAGTTTTAATAGGTTTTTGTATCGGAAGACCTGCGAAACTTCATAGTAACCCTGTATTTTAAACGATGTGGAACATTAGCCCCATTCATCCGCGCCAGTTTTAATAGGTTTTTGTATCGGAAGACCTGCGAAACTTCATAGTAACCCTGTATTTTAAACGATGTGGAACATTAGCCCCATTCATCCGCGCCAGTTTTAATAGGTTTTTGTATCGGAAGACCTGCGAAACTTCATAGTAACCCTGTATTTTAAACGATGCGGAACATTAGCCCCATTCATCCGCGCCAATTTTAATAGATTTTTGTATAGGAAGACCTATGTACGGTGGCTCTTGTGAGCCACCGTACCTATGAAACAGGATCGCAACTGTATTCAAGTCAAAATAACTTGACACAGAGGTACGCGATGTGAAAACCAATGCGTCCACAGCACCCCGCGAGGTGGACGCATCAATGATAAACCATACCCCTAAAATCTTAAAATTTCAAAATCATAAGAAAGAAAAAGGGACTGGAAACGAACTTACAGTATATATAGATAGACAAGCAGCATTTTTCGCTGCGATGCGCCATCACTGAGCAAATTGTCCACGCGTAGATTTGATTCTGTACGCAAATAGATAGTACACGTATATAGCAATAAAAGTGATAAAAATATATTTATAATTACACAAACTGGCCCAAAATCAAATAGGAATTGTATGTATAGACAGTAGTATTGTGTGCATTTCGATAGCACATGTACATGGCAATCAAAGTGATAAAAATGAATTTATAATTACACAAACTGGCTCGAAATCAAATACGAATTGCATGCATAGACAGTAGTATTGTACGCATTTGGATAGCACACGTCAATTAAAGTGATCAAAAATAAATTTATAATTACACAAACTAGCTCAAAATTAAATACGAATTGTATGTATAGATAGCAGTAAGAAGCAAGCATTGATTTATTACTCAAACTACGTTTTTGTGTAGATTCGATTCTTGTACGCAGTTGGATAGCACACGTACATGGTAATTAAAAGTGATAAAAAATAAATTAGAATTACACAAACTTGCTCAAAATTAAATACGAATTGTATATATAATATAGATAGCAGTAAGAAGTAAACATTGATTAATTACTCAAACTACGCTTCTGCGTAGATTCGATTCTTGTATGCAGTTGGATAGCACACGTACATAGTAATTAAAACTGATAAAAAATAAATTTATAATTACACAAACTGGCTCAAAATCAAATACAAATTGTATGTATAGATAGCAGTAAGAAGTAAACATTGATTTATTACAATCGCTTTTGCGTGTTCGATTCTCGTACGCAGTTAGGTAGCACACGTAATTGGTAATTAAAAGTGATAAAAAATAAATTTATAATTGCAGAAACTAGTTCAAAATTAAATAACGATTGTACGTATAGATAGCAATAAGAAGTAAACATTGATTAATTATTCAAGCTGGGCTTTTGCGTAGATTCGATTCTTGTAAGCGTTAGGATAGCATACGTACAGTACATGATAATTAGAAGTGATAAAAATTTATCATAATTACAGAAATTGGCTCAAAATCAAATGCGAATTGTGCGTATATAGATAGTAGTAAAAAGGTAAATATACATGATTTTTAAAAATATAAAACAATCTTGCCATTAGGCAGTAATGAAAAAATGTAGTTGAGAATTGCATGACATGTTATGCAATACAATAAACCAGATTTGGAGAATTATAATTCAGTGAATTCATCCGTTAAAGCATTTGCAAGCTCATGATTGTCATCCATACTGATTTACACTTCGAGCTAAAAATAAAACGAATGTTGAGTAATTCATATTTAGCTTCAATTACAATAAATGGGTTGAAATGTGAAGTAATTTAAATAACAGTGAGAAAGTAAGCGTATACCCTGCTCTAGGCATTTTTCTTGATGTGCTGCAAGAAGGCGCAGAAGGCATAGATTGGTAGCTACTGGCTAGTGATGTCAACCCACAGTGAAATGTCTTCTCGTGAGACAGCCCACATCCATGTGGGCTGCGAGTGAGCAAATAATATTTTTGCTTTTAACCCCCAATAACCCACATTACTGTATCTTAAGCTAACAGTTGTTTAGTACGGAGACGGTCGATTCCGAATTGAGTAATTTCTTCTGAATTAAGTATGATTACATTGAATCTTATTACCTGTTACTAAGTTTGCTTAAAAAAAGTTATGCAAGATAGTCAATGTATATTAGGTTCAATTTGTCGATTCCGAATTGAGTAATTTCTTCTGAATTAAGTATGATTATATTGAATCTTATTGCCTGTTACTAAGTTCTGCTTAAAAAAAGTTATGCAAGAAAGTCAATGTATGTTACGTTCAATTTGTTACAAATAATGACGTTTAACCTCCTAGTACTAGGCGAAATACGTATCTTGATATTACGCCATAATGTAGGATTAGTACTTGTCATCTACGAATAATTTAATTATTCGTAAGTGATTGAATGCACGTTCCACAGCACGTTACCATTTTTAACTGTTGATAGAATGCTGTCAGAGGAGCTACGCTTATATACTAGAGTAGAGTTTAACAATAAAGGATATTTAGCTTAATGACGCGACTCTATTTGGTGTGAGTATCGAAAAGGCCCTCGACAATATTAGTACGAATGATTTAGAAAACAGACATGGAATACCCAGACAAGAGTGACCGATGTGGTAGTGATTTAACTTAATTATTCAAAGACCTGGTATACTGTCTTCCGTGGTAGAGTCAGGGATTACTGCACTAAAATAGAATGCAGCCCCTGTACACTGTACGTTTACAACAGGTTTCTCGATATTCTTTTTTACTGGGTACAAGAAAATATCGAGAAGTACCTGGTTATGATACGGAAAGGACTACCTTATCTGGATGTCGTCAACTCGACTAACGTTATGCCGTAAGCAGAAGTATATGGTAGAACAGAAACTTCTCGACATTCTTTCTTACTGGGTACAAAAATACATCGAGAAGTACCTGGTTATGATATGCAAAGGACTACAATATCTAGATATCGTCCACTGGATTAATGTAATGCCGTAACCAGGAGTATACGTGTTGTACAACAGGGACTTCTCGATATTCCTTTTACTGGGTATTGGAAAAAAAATTTAGAGAAGTACCTGGATGCAACGGGATGGGACAAAATTGATCAGATGTTGCAAATCAGATACACATACTGTACAATCTAGTCAAATCGGCCTTGTCTGTGTACGTAATATGTTTAGTAAAATGCTTTCTGGCAAGTACTCTTAGTAGCAAAATACATAATTTGAAGACTAAAGCATATCGTATCTAGCGGCGCCTGGAGCAGTACCATACGATACCGTATAATGCTGCGCACGTATTCACACACGATAAACTAGATAGTGTACACTAGAGATCCTCTGTTACACGATTATGGACGCCTATTAGGTAAGATCCCGGCCTTTTTTACAGTAATAGTCCATGACTTAAATACTGTGGTTTGACATCACTATCGGATAGCTTTAAATCGGTTCCTTTCTCGAGTGAACTAAAGTAATTGGCTGTAACTACGATATGAATAAATACGCAGATAATAACAAGAGCTATTAGATGTAATTAGGTACGAAAACGGATTAATATTGATCTAGTACGATTATGGCACCTTGCGTTGCCTGGCGTTCCTCTTCTGGCGTAATCTCTTGGTTTTCATCGTCTAATAGCAACGATTCATGCTCAAATGGCGCCTAAATAGGTTCCGAGAAAAATAATGGTTCAAGAGTTATCTGATAAATTGATATAATGACATCATCAAACAAGATATACCCTTGTCAGCCAATGCCCATTCTTTTTTATCGTATTTGCCATGAGAAGATCATCGAATTGAAGTCTACTGAGATCTACAGATGGCTCATGTGGATGCTGCGTATAATCATCGCAAATGTTATAAATCCTTTCTAGTAATAGAAATGTTAATAATTAAAAACGTATACCTCTAATTGCATAGTAGCTTTTAATTCTCTTTTAGTGAAAACTGCACAAGGATTTCTCTCGTCGATGATTCGACCTACAAATACAAGCATTTGAAGTCAACTATCGTTTAACTATATTCAACGTGATAGTTCAGATAAAATGAGTAACGTAAGCTACAGCTGCTAATTGTATATTAAAATGATAATTTATTAGACATGCTATGATATTTTCTTACGTGAAAGGCCTTGTTTACGAATTTGGCATTTATAAATTACATGTTCCATCGTGTTACTACCTACCAAACGGTAAATGTAACACGGTTTCTTTTGTCCGTACCGGTAGATTCTAACGAATAAAAGGTAAAATTTTAGTATTGGAAGTAATCACATCCTCAAATGAAACATACTTTATATAGTGACAGTCATTCGTATAATAAATGATAACCTAAATGCTGCTTGATTATCGTAACATGGATTCCAGGCTGAGTCATAAATAACTACACGATTTGCAGCTACAAGATTAATACCAAGATTACCAGCTCTATTAAATTATAAGAGTCCATTTTATGTTAGCATGATTACTTGCATTTACGTTACTTTATGTAATAAAAATCAAATCGCGACAAACAGTTACACCGATACTGTACTGTATGTTATCGATCGTTAATGTACTGTAATTAATTTTATTACAATCTGTATTGATGCCTCCACGGTACCTGGTAGAAATTAAGAAAAGCCATACGGAGTTGTTGTCGGGGGAATTAAATAAATCAATTAATCGAGAACGTTCATGACTAGGTACGCTACCGTCGATACCTAAATTATATTTCATAGTTATAAAGTCACAGTTACAATTTCTTAAAATCTTCCATAACTTACTTATTAATAGATGCAACCATTAATTTTCTTTACATCGATATTGTAGCGATAACGTAAACGTTGTGAAGTTT